GCTTCCTCCAGTTTCTCTAATGCAGGTATCGCCACAAGTGCAATTGGAACGATACAGTATCGATGGATTTTATCACCGCGGTAAGGCCTTTTTCTAATATAGGAGACCCACTAGCTTCTACGAGGAACGGCCTACTGTTCTAACGCCATATTTGTTCATAAACTGATGCACCCTTCCACTTAGATTCCTTTGGAAGGTAACAGCTAATAAAGGGATACAAGCGACAACACAAAACCCCGATGCTCTTGGAAATATACTCATTCGCTTATCGACCGTGGCGCTGTTTTTTGGTTCAATATACTTCTGAGACGCGGCCCTGCATCTTATGCACTTCAGGCGTTCAAATATCATGGAGCCATGTCCTGCTTAAATGACATTGCTAGGCGTCTAAAAGCAAGAGGACGGTGCTATGGCGCTGCTGGTGTAAAGTGTGGAATAATGTTCCTTTATTTACACTGCTCATTTTCGCCATTTCAATTCGGTATCATTATTTTTAAGGCGAAAACGTATTTAGTTCAATGAATCATTTGTGAAATTTTAGTTCCAAAAAAGCACTGCCTGAAAATCCTTCGTAAGACCTACCGTGTACACTCTTTAATTCTTTGCGGAAATTCGACAAGATAAAACCCGTTGGCAATCGAAATTTCGAAACTACAGATGAATAGTAACGGATCAAAATTGAGCAGTGCACTTGGAATCCCGCGGATAACGGTTAGCCGTTAAACACACAAACATCTTGCAAGACAGTAAACGAGTCTAATGCTGTTTTCATCAAACGAGTTGATATTGCCACACAGCTCGTAAAAACAGTGTTTTATTTCGAATAACGGACGTCACCGCTAGCTGCTGACCGTTGACCACAGCTTAGCACGGGCTCTGGTTCAATTACCATAAAATAAGGCAAATGTGACTAATTAGAAAAGGATAATCAAGGAAGTACTGTAACACGGAAGTGTCCTCGATCGAAACTTGTTTGGAAACATCGTAACGAATGAATCAGACAAAGCGAGCGTAATCGAGCAAGAAACATGTACGATAAAGCAATCACAACGTTGCGTACCATTCCATGACAACAAGGAGACATTTGACGTTGTTGTAGGTATTTTCATAGACGTCGAAGATACGCACGATGTTTTTATGGCTGCTGGCTAAGCAATGAAGTTCGATCTC